CGAAGAGATCAAATTATTGGTGGGGACAATTCAATAATCGTTGGATATTGGTGGGGACATGTCCCTTCCGTCCATGCCAAATCTACGCCCTTGACTATGCACATGTACTATATTCACATAAAAAACTAATTACACTCAAAATTATGTCAAGTACATTTAAGTGCGTTTAAAAAGAACAGAGAAAACAAAATGAATGCATACAACAAGAAACAAAACAGTACTATTCCCTTAAAAGTTGATCCTGCCCATAGAGTGAGCGGGCTTGGCGTAGGTGTGTACTGCTTCTTGTTATAAACAGAAGTAACTCAGGACCGATTGTTTTGTTTTTTAAGTTGTTTTTTTAAGACTTTCTATACTTGATCTAATTAGAAGACACATACATATATTTTTACATGTATTTGTTTTGTTTTTTTATTTGTTCTGGGTTTAATTCCATCCCAGCTGTGAACCCATTATGTTAACCAGGAAGAGGCCAGGTAGGATTAGGACAGCCCTCTGCGGGAATGTGACTTAGTCAGCGTGCTCGGACTGAAGTTATGACTTTAATATGGCTGATAAAGGTCCGCTTTTAACTTCGTGTATAATTTTTTATCTGTCGATTGGAGGCGCAATATTCCAAATTTTTGAAGAAGAAAACTGGAAATCAGCCAGAGACCTCTACGTGAAAGAAAAGGAAGACATTCTGAAGAAATTTAACTTGACTAAAGAGAATCTGACTGAGATACTGAAGGTATGATGAACCCATCTCTATGTAAAGGTAACAAGTCGAGCTTTTGTTTACAGAGGCTTCATTTCGTTACATACTGTATTGCTTACAATCCAGCGTGGACATTAGAAAGGAAAGGAAAATGTTGCCTCCACATGTCCGGATGTATCAAACCAGTTTTATGTGATTTTGAACAGAAATGCAAACGTGTAAAGAGTAACTATCAAGCTAAACATTCTCAAAGGGAACGGGGGAAGTGAAAATCCTCTTATTTAACAGCACAGAAAAGTTGTGAAACTTCAAACAAAACACTGATGTGTGCGCTGGGTGTGGAGCAGGCATGCAACATCAAGCACAGAACAAAAACATAAAGGCTGGCACGAGGCGTGCCCGTTGGTAGCCTGAGCTTTAGTTAAGACTTTGAGAAGAATAAGGAGTTGTAAATATTTCCAGTTATTCGGTTACAAATAAATAAGTAAAGTAGTAGCAGAAGTATTAGATTTATGGGTTTTTTTTCTGGGACTGATTGATTGTGTTAACTTTCTAAAGGTAGTATCAGAGGCTGCCGGGCAAGGCGTGGCGATCTCCGGGGATAAGGATCGCAGTCCGTGGGACTGGGGGAGTTCTGCCATCTTCGCTGCCTCCATTGTCACCACTATAGGTATGAAAGACTCAGCACTTGACACACTTCATGTTTATGTTGTAATATCACACACTTCTTCTTCTTCTTCTTCTGGTTGCTGCCATTTCTTTGGCAATAGGGTTTACTCAGGAACGCCCACTCGACTTGCTTTAACAACATGTCTGGCCCTGCCACAGGCAGGCGATGTGTCCAGGGTGTACCCCGCCTCTCATATTCGAAGCTGGATAGGCTGGGATAATATTCATGTAACACGATGCCTCATGACTAAAAGCTGCAATTCTCTGGGCCTAATTGTGATTGTTTGTTTATAAGACACATTATAAGCTTCACAACAATTACTACAGGCATAAAGCTATGGGTACTCTGATGCTGTGACTGTTTCAGAACAGGAAATGCTTGGTCCCAAAAGTTGGGAAATTATCTTGATTTGGATCTGAGATGTTTGTGCACTGGAGTTTTCCTGCAAAATGTCCAACAAAGAACGTTATAAAGAGAAACCAGAGCACAACTGAGACGGTAAATCCTAATCCTCATTGTTTTTTAGTTCAAGATTCCTCTATGACTTTGTTTTCCATATATAAAGCAGCGGAGAGGCAGGCACCCTCCCTACTTTTCCTACATTTAGATTACACTTTATCAAAAAGGAAAGTTTTTTTTTTTTCTTTTAAGCTTATCATTAGGCTGGATCAGGTGACCATGAATACTCCCTTAGCTATGCAGCAACAGGGCTTGGCTGCTTGGGGCATCCCATGATAAACTGAGGTTTGTTTGTTTTTTTCTTTTAACTCACTATGTGTTTATACACCACCCTGGACTTAATCATTAGCTGTTATTGATCTGTGCTTCTCTTCCACAGTGTGTCTTTTGTCCAGTTTTCCTCCCTTCACCCCCAACCGGTCACAGCAGTTGGCTGCTCCTCCCTGATCCTGGTTCTGCTGAAGGTTTCTTCCTGTTAAAAGGAAAGGAAACAGTGGAAAGGAAAAACTTTCCACTGTTGCCAAGTGCTTGCTCATAGAGGGTTGCATGATTGTTGAGTTTATGGTTGTTTTTCTCTGTGTTAGCCCTGCAACAGACTGGCAGTGTGTCCTGGGTGTACCCTGCCTCTCGCCCTGTGGTAGCTGGGATGGGCTTCAGCCCTCCCCATGACCCTGATAGAACAAACAGAAGAGGAAAATCTTCCTAAAATACTTATCACATCATGGACTGCTGTGATTGAATATTTTCTCACTGTATCTACAGGTTATGGTAATATTGCCCCCAGAACAAAAGGTGGACGTATTTTCTGCATCCTTTATGGTCTGTGTGGGATCCCTCTGTGTCTGGTATGGATAAGTGAGCTGGGTTCATTCTTTGGTGAACGGGCCAAGCGTCTGTCTGGGGTGATGATAGACAAAGGCATATCAGTGGTAAGGTCTGACTAACAATTCGTGTTTATCTGAAATTCTGAACTTTCAATGTCAAATAATATATATTTTTCCGTCTGTTTTGTCAGAAAAAAGTCCAGTATACCTGTATAGCCTTGTTCCTTCTATGGGGGCTGTTGGTGCATCTGGTGATTCCGCCATTTGTTTTCATGTCCATGGAAGAATGGACCTACTTAGAAGGTTTCTACTTCTCTTTCATCACACTCACAACAGTTGGCTTTGGAGATTATGTGGCAGGTAGGTTTTTACATTTGGCACAATTTGCATTTCTGAATTGAGGATATCTAAGTAATTTTAGCCCATAACTCTCATTTTAGGCGTAAATCCAGACATAAACTACCCCCGCCTCTACATAGTAGGTAAAGAATTATGGATTTGCATGGGCCTAGCTTGGCTGTCCCTGTTCTTCAGCTGGAACGTCCACATGGTAGTCGACGCTTCCAAAGTACTAAAGAAAAAATGGCAAAAACGCAGGCACAGAAACTTCTATCATGAGGAGCTAGTGTCTTTAAAGGACAAGCCACATGGAAATGTAAAGCCCAACGTTGTTGACATCTTTGGCTTCTTATCTGAAAAGGAGGAAGACTACAATACTGTCATAAAAGAGATTGGAATGAAAAGACGCAAACCAGCGCCAGCAGACAAAATGAATCGCTCAAAGAGCTGCAGTGACCTCCACGGCACCTCTATCCACAACTTGGAGCACTCTCCAAAGCGCAGACGTATGATCAGTATCAGCGAAGTATTCCTCAATGCAAAGGCCGAGGGGGACAATGACACAAAAGACGAGATGCTCCCGTTATTGCAAGAAAGCATGGGGGACCCTGAAGTGCGTGTGGAAACTGACGAGGAACAAAAGGACAGCTGTGCTGCTGATTCAGAAGATTGTGATATTGCCCTCAGTGGACCTGCCAAAATAGAAGAGGAAACTGTAGAGCATCCTGATGGGGGGGAGACTAGGTTTAGGATTTCCAAGGTGGCTGAAGAAGAATTGCTGTTGGAAAACGATGAGAAAGGGTAAAAGAATTGTCCAAAGGCGTATGCTGCTTTAATGTACCGAGAGAACAAAATGTGGAAATGACACTGCATATGACATCTACAGGAACAAAAGCTGACAGTCGAATGGTTTCCTGTCTTACAAGGTCACTATTTTATTTTTTTATAAATGGCAAAAAACATGTTTAAAATTTTATTTTTTTTTAATTCTTTCATCCCTTTACAACATTTGTATTCATTAAGCAACAGTGATCAACGGCATTATTTTAGAAGACAGTATAAGGCTTTGTGGAAAACAGAGCCAATAAGCAACTTTCCCTCATAAGGAGCTGCTACACTGGAGCCCATAAGGACATGGCCATCATCCGCGTACTCCATGCTCACCACTGGCTGCTTTGAGTGAATATTCTCGATCCGGAGCACCTGAAGGACACATTCATAAAATGAATAGGTAAAAATCTAGCTGCAATGTTTTTATTTTATTTTTAAACAAACTAACCTCAGAGCCAGGTGGATCTTCAGGATTATAGCTTGACAACTTCATGGCATTTGGGTGACAACCCAGCCATACGTCACCTGTCTTGTGGTCCACCTCGATGTTGTCACAAAGTGATCCAACAGCTACCGACTGAAAACATCACATGTTGTTTACATGCTGTAAATGAAACCTGATTATTCTGTCCTTGTGTATGATGTTAAAGCAACAATCCAACCTTTTTTTTTTTCTTGCAACAGAACTGCTTTCTTATTCAGCAAAATGAAAACGATTAGTGCTACTTTTATGTCTACATGTTAAATATGAAGCTACAGTATTATGAAAAATGTACAGGCAGCTGTCACTGATACCGCTCAGCCTACTAGCAGATGTACCTATGGCATCAATTTTTAAAATTCTAGGCTACAGTAAAGTTCATCTTTGACCTCGAGGTCATTGAGATTGAAACTCGTTTTTACTAGATTCACCTAAGGTATCGTACGTCACCTCGTTCTCCACTTGGGCATCCACTCTGCCCACAGGACGGGGTGACGACAATACCCCCTCAACCTCTCACGGCTGAGGGGTAAAAACTGCAACACTAGGCTGGGCTTAGCTTCATATTTAGCACGCAGATATGAGAGTTTTGGGTTGTTGTTTTGTTTTTGTTGTTTTTTCTGACTTTAGAATACAAAACACTGTTACCTTGATGTACCTCAATTGTTCTCCTTCTTGCCTTTCAAAAACATCTATGTCATGATCCATAATATCCGAAACGTATATGTACCTGTGTTTAAAAAAATAAAAGAAATAAATCATGTTACAATAACAAAAAACTGTAAATCTCATCCCACTCCTTTTCAAGTATCTAAATTGTGTTTTGTAGAGTTTTATAGAGATGTGGATGACAATTCGATATCTTCACTTTGTGTACAATGTATTCTGTTATTTCTGTCTGAAATAAAACAGACATTTAACTCAATCAACACATACATGATCACTGATTGGTGTAACGAACTGAGATTAACCTTTTGTCAGGAGATATGTTTATGCCATTTGGGGACCGCAGACCATCGGCCACCACCCTCACTTCGTGTGGACTGTAAAACACTACGTCACACCAGGTTAAGTCCAAATAGACAGCAATAAGCAGAAGTGCATTACTGTGAAAGTAGCGGTCATTTGTGGCGTAGAAGCTCTCCACTCCGACTGCAACAATGTCATTCACACTGAAAAACATGGGGAACAACAAGCACTCAAAGTGTTTTATAAAACTTGCCTCAGTCACACAAGCACTTTTTTTCCTATGCTTTTTATCTAATATTTGCATACATTCATGCTCTGATGGATGCATCGGAGAGCAGCTTGGGGTTAGTATCCATGCCCAAGGACATTTGGCACACAGGCTGGACATGAGGGATGAGATGAGCCACAGCCACCCCAATAAATAAGGCATTAAAAGGTTTCTCATACAGTTCATACCTGTGGAGTAAGGGGTGGGTGATGGTTTTTATGTGCACAAGTGTGTCTTCCTCAACATAACGAAAGATCTCTACTTGGCTTTTGTGATGAGGGTGATTGACCACAAACAGGTACACAGAGTCATCTGCAGAGAAGAAGAAAAGTCTTGTCAACCTTGCTGTGTGGAGGAAACGTAGGTTTCCCTTAGTGTTTCAGTCATGTTTGTGATCAGGGAAATAAACAACAACTAAAATAGCTTGTTATTGTTTAAAAAAAAAAAGCAGACACGCACATACACCAATTTAGGCTGCAGACTCATAGTAAATTGTCACCTTCTTTCCTTCCCTAAAGCAGTAAGGAGCAATTTACTTTTTTTATAGCCTGACCCAACAGGAACTTATGCTTAAGTAAGAGGACGAACTAAATGCAGACAAAAAATCAAAGCCTCACAAAACTCACTTTTACTACACAGAGATGTTTTTGGCACATATAGGAAAATCTCAGATATGTGTCAAGGACACTGTAATGTAGCTGTCTCCTCTTATTCATTTGTCCAAAACCTGTTATCAAGTAAAATGAATAAAGGCAATAAAAATACTGATCATTTTTGCAACATTACATTAACTAAAATTATTAATTTATTAATAATTTCTTTATGCATTTCACTGTCACTGGCCTTTAACCTTTGGCATCTCACACTGCTGATACACAGTATTCTGCTTATTTTAGACAATATTCCAGAAAAGACTGGTCCACACAATAGGATATTTCATAAAGCAGATGGATATGCAACACATAATCACTAGCCAGATGAATCCAAAATTTATACTAGACACTACGGTGAACATCACCAAGCTAATACCAGTGAAAGATATTAGCAGTATCATGCTATAGGGGAGGGGAGGGGGGGGGGGTTGTTCAGAAGCAAGGGGCAAGTCCTTGAAGAAAACTTGGATGAAGGTACAAAAGTCCTAAGCCTATGGCCATGGAGAACCTTCAGCATGAAGAACCAGACTACAGCCAAGACAATACTAGAGGAGCTTCAGACATGTTCCTGAACAAGTCTGGGAAGATCCATTTGGAAAATTAGATACATTTCCAAAACCTACATGTGCAAAGCTTGTAGAGACTTAACCAAGACGACTTTAGTTCATTTATAAGTCACAGTAACAGTGTAAGGTAGCATACTGCCCTAAATGTACTATGACAGAATGCACATAGTCACCACTCAAAGACCCATTCATGTAATTTAGTACAGAATTACTGGCATACCCATAAATGACCCAAAAAAAATTGACGACAAACGACATGGCTTACAGACTTTCCAGAGAAACAACATTATTACACAAAATTAGCTGCAGTTAAAAGCTGTGTTACATTGTATATCTGCCTTATGTAAATACAAGTACTGTGTGTAGGACGTGGGTGTGCAAAAAAAACCAAAAAAAAAAAAACATATCAGGCCTTCTAACTTTACAAACCTATGCATGTGTGCATAAGGGTACAATGAAAAAAAACTACCTGAATACATTTCTGTTATTTAAAATAATAACAAATTTGATTCCATTATTTCATCCATCCTCTATCGGGTCTGTACGTCACCTGCTTCATCAGTGTATGCACTAATGCCATGTGGGTTGAACGAGCTGAGGTCCAGTTCTCCGCTGATTTGCAGCTCCACTGGAGTGGGTTTCGGGTGCAGCAGATCCAAAACATACATTTTCCCTGGTTCATCAGAAAATGAATGTAATCCAGGAAACTTCAAGCCCTGAGCAGTAAACACTACATGTTAGAAACTTTTCTAAATGTGGGGCTTTGCTCAAGAGGTCATCACACAAACAATTGCCCGTGAAATTAATAACATACCGTACTCATGAAGGCCAGTCCATTTTTCAGTATTGTGATATCCTCTGCCCCATATTCTGTACAAACCAACAAATCAATAAATATTTTCCCCCTTCTCAGTTCTTACAGAGAGAACAGTCTGATGTCATGCCTTGGTGACACATGCTCTACAGACAGTTGTGTGAACTTCAGACCCTTCAGCTAATGCCACATGTTAAACGCAGTTTAAACGTGATTTTCACGATGCAAACCCCAGAACAAAGATATGAGCGTGAATACAAAGATTACATACCAATATTCTGCAAATAATGACAGCTGAGGTGTTTCACTGGAATCTCTCTGGAAGCAAGCATGATTTCCCTGCGGAAGAAGTTTACAGAGCCATTACAAAGAAGCCGTACAAATCAGTACTACAGTTTGAAAGTCTGCTCGAGAAGCCTAAGGATACGTTTGTTAAGTCTTTCCATGAAAACATTGGCCACACTTCAACGTGCTTTAGCAAACAACAGCTGTGAACATTTACAATCTGTGCTGCCAAGCCCCAAATTTAATGCGACATATGACGTCAGATTTTCTTGTCGGAACAGAACTTACTTCAGTTTAAGGAACCTGTGTCTACTAAAAACTGCAAAGGCAGCAACAGCAACAGCAACAGCAAGTAGTACTTTCTTCATGGCAGCCATGTTAAGTGTCAGAGGTTACCTATGAAAGTGCCATGACTTTCAATGTGTATTAACACAACTTCCCCAAAGATGGAGACAGAGTGCTAAAATTAGTTTGATCTGTTAAAATTAGAACCAGCTGCTAAGACTTAAAAAAAGAAAAGAAAAGAAAAGAAAAGAAAAGAAAAGAAAACATGGATCTTTTTTGTTGTTGTTGTTGCTTGTAACAAGTCAAGGTAGAATTTATTTTAGGGTATTTCTAACATAAAATATTTGCCCAAGGAAAGAAACAAAGTTTAGTGAATATAAATGCATGGCTACACACGGTATGTGAATAATGGATTATTTATGCAGCACAACCTAAAAGCTACACTGTATCCGAACACACCGCACATACATACGCACTGCTTTTTTTCCCGTTTCGTTTTATTTGCACACAAATAGAATCAACAACAATAATAATGTACAGTTTAAGAACAAGAACAACCACCTTCCCTATAACATTAACAGGTAAGCAGCTGGAACAGACAAGTTACATACAATCATTTACAAATATAATAAATATATATTTGTGCTATTAGAAATAAACATAGTTTTTAATTGTTTTTAAAAGAATAAAATGCAGTTGTGAACTGAAGAACTGGTGATAGTTTGTTCCGATAAGAAGGTTCTCAATATTTATGTGTATTTTGTTTTCTGCATAAGGGTAAATAAAAATCACCATGGTGTCTTGTTTAGTAGGTATGTACATCTGAAAAAGACGTAAAAGAAATGTTGCAAAACAACTAGTAAATCACCAATTAAATATACATACTTATACATAAAAAGAGATATGCAATATTTATTCACATTAAATATTGTCAAGATATAGTATTTTACAAAAAGAGGATGGTCTATTTGAAAAATTCATTATCTGTAAAAATGTCTTTTGAATTAATAGAATTTTATGAAGACACAGCACCCCAAACACTATTACAATATATTATGTGTGGATAAATTAAAGTATAATATAATATCAACACACAAGAACAATTTATAAAATGCAGTACTCAGAATACCAATCAGTGTGGTATGTTGGAGCAGCAGTTTATCGGCAGCTGAGAGGAAGAGGT